ATAAGGTCCTGATTCTCCTCTGTATGTTACGGCACTGACATGCCCCCTCATATAAGGTCCTGATTCTCCTCTGTACGTTACGGCACTGACATGCCCCCTCATATAAGGTCCTGATTCTCCTCTGTATGTTACGGCACTGACATCCCCCCTCATATAAGGTCCTGATTCTCCTCTGTACGTTACGGCACTGACATGCCCCCTCATATAAGGTCCTGGTTACCTTGTACTTGGCCAGCTGGGCCTTCTTCTGATAGAGCTCCACCTTGCGCTCCAGGGGCCAGCGGAGCGTGTCCCGCGTCTCCTCCACCCACTGCGCCTGCGCTTTGTATTTGTCCAGGAACTCCTTGGTCAGCAGGAGCCGCTTCTCCAGGCCGCCGTGCTCTGCCCGCAGCGCACCCAGCAGCTCCTCCAGCTGCCTCAGCCGCGCCCCCACCTCCCCCCGCAGCTGCTCTGCCTCGGCCTCCCCCAGGAAGGAAACGGCCTGCTCCGTCTTCTCCCGCATGGCCTTCAGGAAGCCGTGTCCCTGCTCCACGTCCCGCTGTAGGGCCTGTGCTCCACACAGAGCTCCGATTCAGTCATGATCACTCATCCCGCCATGCAACATTAGCATTACGATTACACTGCATGTTACACTGTTACATCGTACTGCCTACGTATATATTATTGTACTTAGAATTGTATTCACGGTGTTACTATAAGCACCTTAATTTGCATTTGTGATTTGATTTCTTTTTATCAGTGGCTGGAAGGACATGCAGAATAAGATTTTCATTGCATAGTGAAAATGATTATTTACTTTGCATACTGTTTGACCGTAAACTCTAGAATCCTGAATGTTCAGTTTTATAACATTATAACTCACACACTTAACTACTCAGCCCTAACCTTAACCATAACAAAATACAAGAGTTTTGGCATTTTTTTGTTTTTTGATTGCAGTCACAGATTTTTATGAAATTCAGTTTCTCCCTGTGGGGACCGTTTTTTTGGTCCCCCCAGGGGGAAACTGAATTTTATAAAAAAAAAGGTGAAAATAACAAGCTTTTATCACAATGTAATGTATATCTGGGACCCCCCCCCCCCCCCACACACACACACACACACACACACGCACAGAAAAACACACACANGCTGCATTCACACACACACACACACACACACACGCACACACACACGCACAGAAAATGTGCAAGTACTGCCGGCTCACAGAAAATAGCAGCTTAAATTAGCCCCTAGAGCAGAGCATGTAAATTTGAAAAGTGTTCCATTTACAGTCTAAGCACCATGCCAGAAATCGTGGACCAAAAAAACGTGACAAAGAAGCTGCTTCAGAACATCTGGGCTGCGTCTCAGGGATCTCATGAAGGGGACGGGCTTTGATTACCGCGCGTCCGTCTATCCGCACGCCCGTGGCCAGGCTCCGGGGGATTCCGGCCCTTTCTCTCAAGCTCAGTGCCTTTGAAACCCGCCAGGCTGCGTATTTCCCGGGGCCGGTCCCTCCAGCGCCACGGGTCGGGCCAATTATGAGCGCTTAACAGGGGCCGTGCTGACGTCCTGTGGACGGTTCAGACGCCCCTCCCCCCACTGCACAGGCCGGGGGTCCGCTGAGTGATATTGGCTAGCTTTCATGAGAGAGAGCAGTCTCTGCAAAGACCTAGGCCACACTCAGCACCTCCTGCCAGGCAAATGGGACAGCGGGCCCCTCCTCAGCTGGTTATCGCAAAAAAATGTGTAAATGAGCTGATGAAACACTTTGATGTGCTCTCAGGTTGCCCTTAGTGGAGAGCTGTGTTCTGTCCAATCAGGACACAGCTGCATCGTTTAGCCATATGAGCCAGATTTATGACCTAGCGGTGAAAGCCCCGAGCCGTTACCACAGAGGGAGGCGAGGTGGAACGGAAGGCTGGGGAGATGGCGGATCGAGCCACCTTGACCTGGACAGCCAGCGGACCGTGTTTTACTGTGATTACTGTGGGACATGATGTGAGCGTACAGCTATTTCCCAGTGGGCTCCAGGGTCCTGCGTGCCCTTTACGCCTTCGAGATTCTCAGTCCCCTCCTGCAGTGTGACGGACAGGTCGTGAGGGGTAGAGCTACAGCCATCAAAGGGCTTCCCCCCTCCTTTGTCTCACCGCAGGGATTCCTGAACTCCCTTCCCTGAACGACCGCCCCCCCCCTCTATGCGCTGCATAGAAGCCCGATCGATGTCCTTCCCCTCCACGGCAGGTGAAAGCGCGGACGCTGCGACCAGAGGGGGGCGCTGTGCGAGTGCGAGTGTGCAGGGGGACGTGTGGGCAGTGAGCCTGACATTATTCCCCACCCCCCGTGGCCAGGGGCTGGAGGAGCTACCAAAGATAACTGCTCACCAGGTGTATCTGATATCAAATATCGATTGTCAGCCACCTTATCTTCACACAGATTTACTGAATCCCCTTTCCTGGGCTCAGCGACTTAATTTCAGCAATTTTTACAAAACAGCTCGAGTTTTTTTCAGATTTTCTACAGCGCATCAATACAAGGCCTGCAGGAGAAGAAGCAATCCCCTCATTTACTGGTGCCCCCCTATGTCCCCCCTCCCACAGGCCACCCTGGGGTCCAGCCCACAGTATCCGTACCTCCAATTTCTTCATCTTCCTCTCCATGGCAACTCGGTCTACCACGTCTATGCTGATGGCCGCCGCGCGGAAGTTCTCCTGTGCCGTGCAGAGCCAATCAGAGAAGGTGCTGAAGACACTCTGGGCCTCGTTGATGGTACGGATCTCATCCTGCAGCTGTTTGATGCTCTCCTGTAACAGGTGCAAGACAGATTCCACCTAAGCCAATCAGAATGAATTCTGACATAATTAATACATCACCAGCCAACGGGGGCCTAATTAGATGTGGGGAGTCTCACCCTAAGCCAATCAGATGCACACTCACTACACCCATACATCATCACAGGTCAGACTCGTTATGGACCCACCAGGGCCTAATTAAATGCAGACAGATTTACTCTAAGCTAATCAGATGCAAGCTCATGTACTCCATACATCATCAGAGGTCAGCCTTACAGGCCCAGTGATGCCCAATCAGATCCACTCAGACTCACTAAGCCAATCAGATGGACTCACGTGAACGAAGTGTTGCCTAAGAAACACACGTTTACCGTTTTTACCAAAGATAAGAATTCCAACGGACAAAAAAGGATAATATAAAAGCAATTTACATGAGCATATTTACAGTTCATTTACAGTTGAGTTTTTCCTAACAGTGGAATGTAGATAAGGACAGTCTCTCTCTAATGTGTCATATTTGCATTTGTAGGTGATGATGGAATTAAACAGTTGGGTGGCGCTTTCCAATGGACAGGGATACTTCAGGGACAAAGGGGGCCTTTCCACGGAGCACTCAGCTGAAAATCCAATTTCGGTGCAGCGGCACCAATTAACTCTCGTCGGCAAATCCGCCGAGGAGAGAGTTACGGCTCTTGAAAGAGAGAGAGAGAGAGAAAAAGCGCAGATGTGTCTACTCCGCGTGGCATAATCGCTCGCTTCTCCGACGTGAGGGGGGGGGGGGAGGATGGGAGGAGGTGCAGCTGCAGGTGTGAAACTCAATTCCCACTTCTGCAGCGACCCCCACCCACCCAGCACAGGCCGAGCACTTAATTACAGGGTAGGCCGTGGTTTTGACGGCAGTATCGATTTTCTAGCGTCCCCATAAAAGGATAAAGAGGCACCTCTCGGCTGTCCGCCCCCCCCCCCACACACACGGAGCTCCTCTCTCCACTGGCGTACGTTCTCCCCCCGTCTGTCTGCCACGCGTATCCCATTAAGCGATATTCCGACATCAATAGCATTTATTTGCCAATTAGCTGGGGGGCGGTACCAATGCTAACAGGGGCTAGCGAGCCAGCTCAGGAAATGGGGGAGGGGGCCTGTTTGATGGGCACGACCTGGTTGGCAGATGAACGTCGCGGGCAGCTGCAGGGAGCCCAGCAAAGCGGCCGCATGATGTAATCTGCTCAGATGGCGCTTTTTAAACCCAAAGGTTAAGCCCAAATGCGGCAGAATTGCATGGGCGGACGTCTGTGATAATGGAGTCTGACGCAGTTGGGATGGTACCAGCCGCCCAGCCTTTAACGAATGGTGGAAAAAGAGTCACCGCTGATTAATTAACTATGCGCTGACTTTGCATGCATGATGCACTTGTGTGTTGTGTATCTTTTGTGAGTGCTTACCTGTTGTGTGTGTGCGTGTTTCATCAGGAAAGGATACTTCAGCAGAAATATACACATTAAAGATAAGAACACCGGACTTTATCATTTGGATTAGATTGTTCAACGGGAGTATCACCAGATAATCTGATTTAAGGCAATTAAATAAAGACAGAGATGCCAAATTAAAGCAGAATGAGAATCTATCACATGGCATCGATACCTTTAACTACATGAACATCTGTAGGAGCTAAATACGCAACCTACTGATGAATCCTTCATTCATTAAAGCTAATTAAAAACTCAGCTTGGCACGAAAAACGCTCTGCGACTCCTTTAAAGTGAATATGACGCTAGAGGAGATGGCAGTGCCTCGCTCTGATGGCAGTGCCACGCCGTGATGGCGCGGTACCAGGCCTCACCGTCAGCTGCAGCAGCAGGGTGTGGTAGCGCACGGTGAGCTGGGCGGCCTGGGTGCTGGATTGGCTGCTCACGTGGGCCTCATCCAGAACCTGCTGGGCAAGCGAACCCAGGCCCTCGACCTCCTCCTGGAAGCCCAGCGCCTCCTCCTGCAGGCACTGCACCGGGGAGATGGGAACACGCACAGTGTCAGAACATCAAGGCTTCATAACCAAACAGAGTCAGAACCTCAAGACAGACTTTTCATTATTTTCAGAACTAGACAACAATGTAACTACGATCTCCTTAGACAGAAGTTTCTGAGCTCAGTAAGTCACTTGTAACTCTGTACTCATTCAGACATCTACAGCTGTTCATTATGACTGGTCTTTGCTTCCCCCCGCCCGCCCCCCCCCCCACCCTAAATCCCCAACCTTGAACATCTGCAGCTGCTCCTCCTTGGTGCTCTTGTCTGACTGTCGATGGGTGCGCGGTTGACCTTTGGCCTCCATGCCAGTCAGCCACTGCTCCAGACGCTGGAACTGGTACTCCACCTGCCTCAGCCTGTTGAGGGCGCCGGTGTGCTGCGTACGGGCCTCGGCCAGCCGGCTCCGGTATGCCCGCCAATCCTGCTGTACGGTCTCCAGGGCGCGGTCCTCGATCTGCGGCAGGCCCCAGGGTACGACCCGCTCCCGGCTGCCGAGCACTGAGGCCAACAGCGCCTGACCCTCAGAGCAGCGCTCCTCCAGCTCCTGCAGAGGAGGCGCAAGGTTATGCTCCTCCTCACACTCCCGCTCCATTGCTAGCTGTCCTTCTCTCCCTCCCTGGTTTTTCTCTTCCTCCCTTCCTTCCCCTCTTTCGCCTAGTCCCACTCTCCCTCACCCCCCCACTCCTCTTTCTCTCCTTCTCTCTCTCCCCTCCCCCCCTCCTCCTCTCCTAGGGCAGACCTGCATCTGCTGCAGCGTGTTCTCCAGGGCTTCTACATCGCCCTCTAGGGCTGAGCAGCAGCCCAGCTTCTCCTGCTCCTGCTCCAGCCAGTCTTCCAGTACATGCAAGCCGCGCTGGTACTCCTGGTGGTCCAGCACAAGTTCCTCCGCCCTGGACACCGCTCCCTGGGGGACACAAACGCAACCCAGTCAGCATGGAACCACCGGTACCGCTGGGCCTGACCGGGTCGAATCTTCCCCGTGATCTGCCCGTACTGTACCTTGGCCTTTTCTTTGATGGTTGCATAGCGTTCTTGCAGTTCTTGAACCTCCAGCTGGGTGGCGCCGTGCTCGACCATATTAGCGCCCTTTGCTGCAATGGTCTCCAGCGGGCTGAGATGACTTATTACCTCCTCGTACAGGAGCTGAAACGCACATTAATTCACATTAATCCATATGCAAAACACACCATCTACACCTCAGATCCTAGCTGCTTCATTAAACTATGGACTGGGAGAGCTACTGGTCCTAGTAAATCACACTGATTGCAACTTGATCCAAAATTGCAGGAATCCATAATAAAGAAAGTTTGACATGTCTGATCTGAACAGGTCATATCGACCACAAAACCCAAGGTAATCTAAATGAGAGAGGACAGGGACAGTGAGGAAGGTGGGCGTGGCATTGAGGGGACATGAGGACAGGGTCATTGAAGAGGGGGATGGGGCACTGAGGACGAGGCAGGAGAGAGGGGACATGAGGTAAGATGAGGATGGGGTAGTAGGGGTAGGGGCAGTAAGGATGAGCATGGGGCAGTAAAGACAGGGGCAGTGGGGACAGGCACAATAGGGACAGGGGCAGTAAGGACAGGGGCATTGGGGACAGGGGCATTGGGGACAGGGGCAGTGAGGACAGGGGCAGTGAGGACAGGGGCAGTGGGGACAGGGGCAGTGAGGACAGGGGCATTGGGGACAGGGGCAGTGAGGACAGGGGCAGTGAGGACAGGGGCAGTGGGGACAGGCGCAATAGGGACAGGGGCAGTAAGGACAGGGGCAGTGAGGACAGGGGCATTGGGGACAGGGGCAGTGAGGACAGGGGCAGTGGGGACAAGGGCAGTGGGGACAGGGGCAGTGAGGACAGGTGCAATAGGGACAGGGGCAGTGAGGACAAGGGCAGTGGGGACAGGGGCAGTGAGGACAGGGGCATTGGGGACAGGGACAGTGAGGGCAGGGGCATTGGGGACAGGGACAGTGAGGGCAGGGGCATTGGGGACAGGCGCAATAGGGACAGGGGCAGTGGGGACAGCGCTACAGTGGCAGTAAGGAACATTACCTTAGCTCTGCCGAGGTTGGCGGTCTTGTCTCTCATCTCAGAATACTGCTTGTCAGTGCTGCCCAGGGCCACCTCCACTGCCTCCATCCAGCCCATGAACTGGCGCACGTCATCCTGGTAGCTGGTCCACTGGGAGAGAGCCCCTTCCAGCTGGCTGCATTCACACACACACACACACACACACACGTTAGCTGCACAGGCAAACCTTTATAAGCGTCTCCCCGCTGGAAATCCCAGCTCCTCTTATTCATAAGCATGTAATCCTGGTAGGTGGGGGTCAGCCCCCACTGTCACTAGTGTAACTCTACAACAGGGAGCTTCACACGGACGTCCCACTGAGAAGCCAACTGCGCTAGGCTAACGGCTAAAGGTGAACAAAGCATTGAAAAAACTGGGACAGGCACAATGACATCGTCACTGACACTGCACTTTGGAGTAATAATGCTAATTATGTTGCCACATGGGTGAGGGAGGCACATATACACATAAAGAGGGTAGAGCGTTCCAATTTGAATATGGGGGGCAGTGTCTGAATGTCTGAGCTGGGGGAGTGAAGGCATGATGCTCTCACCTCTTGCACTGGATGGATGCGGACAGAAGCGAGTCCCACGAGTCTTTGAGGTCCTGGATTTGCTTGCGGATGACGGGGACTCCCTCGGGGGAGGTGTTCCTCTGCACGGACTCCCCCCGCGTGATGAGCATCTTCAGCTGGATCTCCTTCTCCTGCTTGGCCGCCAGCAGTGCCTGGAAGGGCCGGCACGGGGCTCAGCAGAGAACACGTGGCGGGCGGACACTGCAAAGCTCTCGGTCACGTCACTTAGCCTGCAGTTTCTGCTGAAGTCACTTAGTGAATGAATTCTTGGCACTAAAACTGATGATAAAGTATCAGCCACAAACAGGTGTGCGAATGTTTTTCACGCCTGGAGGTTACAGACATGCTGGGAATTTTAATGGGATGTCAGGTTCTAGATACCGGTCTCTTTGTCTGAAACACAGAACTAGTTCTAGCTCATCGGTCTGGGTCTGACATGGCCACCTGCTTTCTCGCGTAGAATCAGAACTCCATCTCTGGCACAGCGTTTCTCAACCCGGTCCTCGACGACCCCAGACGGTTCACATTTTTGCTTCCCCTCAGCTCCCTGCTTGCAGAGGTGGAAAGTTCCTGAAGGTGCAAATCCAGACCATGGTTTTGTTTCAACCAACCAGTTGAGTACTCTGTGACTGTGACTCTTTAAACTGAACTGGACGGTTGAAACAAAATCTTGGTGTGGATTTATACTTTCTGGACCTGAACGTTCCACCTCTGCCTGCCAGACAGTCCACATTTTTGGGGAGCAGGGAAGAAGCAAAAATGTGGACCGTCTGTGGGTCCCTGAGGACCGGGTTGAGGAACACTGTTGTAGAGGTACCACTCAGTTTTCATGTTAGTCCCGTTCCCCGGTGTGGGGGGGGGGGGGTCCTACCTCCAGCTTGATCATCCTGCGGTCCAGCACGTTCTTGTCTGCAGTTGGAGAGCAGTAGGTCTGCAGTGCGAGGTTGGATTCTGTGACCCAGCTCTGCAGTTCCCTCAGGCCCTGGGAGAAGAGCTGGTGCTCGCTGACGATGCGGTCGATGCGCGAGGCCTTCTCCTACAGGGGGGTAACATAGCTGCTATTCAGACACCCCCTCACATCTCCTCAGACTGAGACTCTCAAAAAAATACATACCTCACCTGTCAACCCAACACACTGCAGAGGAAAATCCAAAATACCTTTTTCGACAGGGCCTCCCTAAAGCTGATGTAATTGTCCTGAACACACACACACACACACACACACATACACACACACACACACACAAACCGACCTCAAATAAACTTTACCTTGCAGCTCAATAGGAAGAAGCAAGGACCTTATCAAAGTCCAGGGGAAATTTTCACACTGCTAGACTCTCTATCTTTAAAATTTCTAAAGATTGCAGTTACAAAATAGGTCTGCCCCCACCTCAAACCCCCTACGCAGTTGTTTTTCTCTTCCTTCACCAGTGCCCACACTGCCATTCCTTTGCGTTCCAGTTTGAATACCTCTGTCCTGGGCTTAAAACCTCAAATAAGAACTCGACAAAGCCGGGCTTAAAACCTCAACAAAGCCGAACATCAGTCAGCACACTCATAACAACAAAACCATAACGGCAAGTATCTTCTGTAAAAACAAGCAGACAGAAATGTAGACCATTTTGACATTTTATAATTAAACCCCGTGGCCTCTCTCCTCCACTATTGGCTGTTTAAATGCCACCTCTGCTCCATGTGGGTGTGTGTGTATGTGTGTGCGCGCATGAGCGTGTGTGTGTCTGCAAATTGCACACCCTCCCCGTGTTGTGCAGATTTCCTCCGGGTGCTCCAGTGTCCTCCCACAGTCCAAAGAGAGGCAGTTAGGCTAATTGGTGTCTCTAAATCACCCATATTGTGTGTATGTGTGTGTATGTGTCTGCGCCCCAAGATAGACTGGCAAAGACATGCGGTCAGGCTAACTGCTGTCTCTAAATTGCTATTTCCGGAAAAGCAGCTGGTAGACAGATAGATGGGAAAATGTGTCAAATTAAGCTGATTAATTTCTGCAATCAAACTGTACTTATACGTATTAAATGCTTATTCTGGAGCAGTAATTATTTTACTGTCATCAACCTTCTGCAGCCATTATTCATTTAAAGGCTACAAATAAAACCGCAAAATGGACATTTGCTTCTATCGGACCTTGCTGAAAATTCCCTATAAGGAATGTATGAACATCAGTGACAAATTGCAGACTGAATTTAGCTAACAGCTGGATGAAATCGGACTAATTAAGCAGTTAATTAAGAAGAATAAAAATCAGCATGCAGAGATATTGACCCTGACGGAGGCTAAGGTCCTCCAGGCTTGAAAGATTCATTTTAGGCTCGCTGTGCGATTAGAGCAGAAAGCAGAGGAGGCCACCACATCCACCTCTCTCCATCATCTAAAGCAGCAACGTCCTCCTTCCACCACGTTTAATTAAGCATCGCCGAAGAGCAAGTTTATTAATAACGGGAATCTAAGGCGGCCGCCGAGTTTTCGCTTGTTAACGCGCGGCAAACTGAGATGACAGCTAATTAATCAGGCAGAGCTGCTCGCCGGATGTAACGAGGGGGGGGTTCTGCGACACATTTCCAATAGAGCAGACGAATGGAGGCAAATCTAGCCCATTTGCTCCCTCCCTGAGAGACAGCATGGTGTGAAAAGTAAATACATTCTGTCCAGAATCTACCACATAAAATCAAATCAGATAAATTATTAATATATTTGTGTATTATTTATAGCACAGGTCTGTGGCTTAAATTCCTCCAGCATGATCTATAACCTTACCTGGGTAAATGCGTACATGTGTAAGCCCCATCATATCGTAGCTTAGCCAGTTAGCCTAGCACAGAGCTTCGTTAGCATGGCTGCTACGAAAGGCCCAGGGGCAGCCGCGGCCACCCTTACCTTGGTCAGGTTGCTTAGTGCTAGGTACTGCGCAGAGAGCTGGGAAACGCGGTGCATAAAGCCCTTCCCGGCAGCCTGACCCTCCCAGAGGAGCTGGGCTTTCTCCTTCAGCCGGCTCAGCTGACCCTCTTGGGAGGCTACTTCCTCCAGGACAGACTGTGAAGCACAAGCACGTTAGCGGTGGCGTGTTAGCGAAGGCGTGTTAGTGTCAGCGGGCCAAAAGAGAAGCATGCTTTGCGATGGGCAGTTTGTTAAGCCGGGGTGGGGGGGGCAACACTGGCAAAGGAGGCGGGATTTCATGAGCGTGGGTGAGAGGGAGGTAAAGGAAGACCAGGTCACGGGATGGAAGGAGGGACCGGCGTAGAGGAGGAATAAGATGTATGGAAGAAGAAGATGAAGGCCAGACAAACAGATACACAAAACAGGATGAACGGGGCCTTGTGGGTTGGGTTGGGGGGGGGTTGGGTGTCATCATCTGTTCGATTTTCCATCTCATCATTACTGATAATGGTGTCACACCCGGGGAACGGCGTCTCCATGGAAAGCCTTTGTTCAGGACGACTGAACACGATTAGGTACAAGTCAGCACTTCTTAAACACTGACTGTGTCCAAAGTCGCAGATTCACCTGAAGCCAAGGAGAAATGCAAGGGTACGGAAAAAATATGATTTATTTATACCCCAATTCGCTGCTGGCAGGAGTCCCATAAAATGCGTTACCTGGAATATCCCCGAAGGGCTTTATGAAAACCGTGGACACATTTCCGTGAGGAAACCCTCCGTTGTGTTTTAAAATCCAAATAGTGAGCAGCCATCAAAACAATACATTCTTTTCCTAACTGTGCCATAAAATATAACTGAATTTTGTCAAGGCGTTTACTGAACAGCGTCCAAAAGGTGTATGCAGGTTGCTGGCCACTCAAACAACACGGTTATCTCCCAAAATCCAACCCAGTTCCAGTCCAGCTCGTTAACTGCTATGACCCCTGCTGATCTTTAAAGAAACTGAAAAGCACGTATAAAACTCTAGGCTTTTACAACACTGGGGGAATGATGGAGATGCAGGGAGTGGTGGTTATGGCAAAAGGAGTGATGATAAATGGGTGGTCCAAGTGCCGCCCCCTAATGGTGAGAGTGAGTACCTGCAGTTTTAGCAGTTCCTGACGCTTGGCTGGCAGGTCGTGTAGGCGAGTGCTGCTCTCTAGCACAGCGCTCTCTGTCCCCGTCAGCCATGCCTGCAGCGGCTCCGCGCTGGTCTCCAGGTCCTTTATCTGGGCTTGCAGGTTCTGTAGTGCACAAGCACATGGACTCAGTGTATGTGCACATATGTGTGTATTACAAAAACAGCTGCAGTGTTTCAGGGACAAAGGATGCCTGAGGGTGGCGGGTAGTTAGAAGCAAAGCCTTGGTCGGGTACCTGCAAAGCTATTTCCCTCTTGTGCAGGTTGGACATCAGGCTCTTCCAGTCATCCCTGGCACTTGTCACCTTGGCCCGAATGGTGTCCACCCGATCTTTACCCACAGTGCTGCACAGCAGCTCTCCATTGACCACCACAGCATCCAGCTTGGTCTGTCCCTGCTCCTTGTCATTCAAGAATTCCTGTGGGTGGGGCCACAAAGAAAAAAAAAACAATCAGCAATGAAATTGTGGAATGCAGAATAAGCATCACGATTACTACACCTAGATAAGAACCTCCTATATACAGCAGGTGATCTAACATGCCTGTAGCTACTGCAGATGCTCTGATGTTCCTGTAGCTACAGAACTTGCTCTGAAATTCCTGTAGCTACAGCAGGTACTCTGAAGTACATTTAGCTACAGAAAGTGTTGACATTCCTGTAGCAACAGAACTTCCTCTGACATACCTGTAGTTCCAGCAGGTGCTCTGGCGTACCTGTAGCTACAGAACTTGCTCTGACATTCCTGTAGCTGCAGCAGGTGTTCTGACATACCTGTACTTTGAGGAGGGCAGCCGAGGCTTCAGCGATGCTTTGGGGCACGTCGAAGCACTTGGCAGTGTTGATCTTGGTGTTAACCAGCCATTGCTGGAAGTCACGGAAGGCAGTGCGGAAGCGTTGCTCCAGAAGCTTCTCCTTGTTCTGGCACTCCCGAGCGGCCTGAAGACTGAGGCTGGGTGGGGGGGCGATATGACACCACTGAGTCTCTCTTCCATTTTATTCCACTGCCTGGCTAATCAGGGCCAATCCATCAGCTGCACCTCAACTGTCAGATTTCTAAAAATCCTGGTAACTAAACAACAAAGTACATTTTTTTCCCTACCAAAAATGCAGAATGAGGAGCAGCATATTTAAAAGGCACAAAGACTAAGGTACAGCCTGACATCAGAGGAGCCAAAGGGGCAGGAGCACCATGCAGGTGCTGGGGGGAGGGTCACATCACAATGGGGGGGGGGGGAGACGACAACGAGCGCCGGCTCCGAGGGCTCAGCAAGGCAATTACAGATAAGAGTGCACACACGCGCTCAATCGCACGTGCACACACATACACGCATAAGCACCACAGCTCTACACGCTACCCTCCACACACAGCCCCCAGCCTCGAAAACAGACAAGGGGGAGACACGGTCGTGCTGTGCACCCACCACGACCTCTGACCCCGGCGCTCACCTGTTATACTCTTTGATCAGCGCTGAGACTCGCTCCGACTGAGCGCCGAGGTCCCGTGAGAACCGGCACAGCTCATTTAATTGGCTCTTCAGGTTGTCCGTCACGGGCTCCATACCCAGCAGGTCCTCCAGAGTGTCCTGACACACAGAGACCGTCAGACACGCGTGTCAGATCGCTGCTCGCCTTACAGACTCCCCCACGCTGGGTCCCGTCTCCCCATTGAACCCCTCCCGGCTGCTGGGACGGCATCCTTTAAATTATTCATGCAGCCTTGTTACGCCGTGGAGGGAAAAAAAAGGCAAAACAACAGGGAAGGAAGTCCGGCTTCCGTGGAACGAATGGCGGGAATGTGTGAGAGCCGTGATTTCCTTATAAAGGCTTCTGGTCCGCTTCCCCGCTCTGACGGATCTCAGCTGTGAGCGGGGACAGCTGCAGGAAAGATCAGGCAGCAGAGAGCCAACGGCGTCAGGAAGCGGGAGAGTCGGAAATGCAGGACATGCGCTCGGCAAACGAGGCCGCTCCGAGACCGCAGGACACACAGAAACACAGACACGGGATCTGGATGTAGTGCCGGAAATATCCAGTGCTTGTTTGTGTAAGCAGGCTCCCGAGGGAGGGGGGAAACCCGCGGCCCCGGGTCCGTGTGGAGGCGCAGACGGCGGGCAGGGGCATCGACGCTGCGCGGGAACGGCACCTACCTTCGCGGCGTGCCAGCCCTGTGCCAGCTCCTCGCTGCCAGTCCTCCCCTCGGTGGGAAGCAGCCGCCGGCCGCAGTTACACAGACGCTCTTCGAATTCCCGTAGCTCCTGCTCCAGCTGTGCGGCCAGGGCGCGGAACTCGCGCTCGGAGCCGTCCGCCTGAGCCAGAGCGTCGCGGAGGCGGTCCCTCGCTCGCACCACCGCCCCCTCCCACTGCTCCCAGGCTCGCTGCAGGGCCCCCGCCTCCTGGTCCGGCGGCTCACCGCCCGCCCCGCCTGCCAGGGTGTACTCCCGCGCTGACTCCGCGCTCCGCTGCACCCGGCGCAGACGCTCTCGGCCCTGCTGCCTGGAATCAATCAGCTCCTGCCGCGGAAAGTTGCCACGGTAACTGCCACTGCCACAGCCTCAGACCCAAGCTATTCATGGCTGCTGTGTTTTTTTTTTTTTGTTCCCCTCCACCTCCTCCCCCATCCCTGCTCTCTCGCTCTCGCTGTCTGGTGGGAAATATGTGAGTGCCAGATCACAGATGGGGGCTGTTAAAAAGGTATGTATCTTAAAATAAAAATAAGCAACTACATTCTTGTTCTTGTTTGCTTGGTCTGATTTGTTTTTATTCTCAAAATTAAATGCCACTGGCAACACTTTCCAGAAAGAACCTCAAATAATTGCATCTTTTTACAGAAAATATGGAATTATGGGGAATTCCTTAACCCCTTCTCGCAGAGCAGGCGGCCTGTACTGAGTGCCCCAGGTCAGAAAGATCAGCCGCAGTGGTCACATTCCTCACCTGCACTTTGGACAACTTCCCCTGCAGGGAGGCGGAATCTCCAGAAGGCTCCGCCCAGCGGTGAAGCTCCTCCCTGGCAGATGTCAGCCAATCAGTCATGTCCCGCACGGCTTCCGCGTAACGCTCGTGCTCCTCCAGCATGTTTGTTGCCTGCCGCACTTTGCCCTGTGGGCCACATACACATACACACACACACACACACATACACACGCACACACACACGCACACACACACATACACACACACACACACACACATACACACACACACACACAGGTTTGTAATTATATCTTTGTGCGGACTCTCCAATCATTTCTATGAGGAAAACTCGAACATGACAAACTCAACCCCTTCTCAGCCCTAACCTTAACCATAGTTACCATAGTCTTTTGGCATTTTTGGTTTTTTAATTGCATTCACATATCTTTGTGGGGACCTGACAAATGGTCCCTTCAATATCAAAATCGCATTGTGGGGAACATTTGGTCCCTACAATGTAATATAAACATAATCCACACACACATACACATATACATGTTAAGAGTAAGTAAACAAAACACAACACACGCACAAATAATACACCATAATGGGTAAGTATCAAACCGGCACATACATATCAGCAGTGAAAAATAAAATCCACACACACACACACACACACACACTCCAGTGGTAAAAAAGAAATACCAAACACATACATAAATAGGCACACATATTTAACATAAGTTAAAGAAAATAACACATAAATATACGCACCAAAATTGGTAAATACCAAATCCACACAGACTACCTCAGACCATTATCAGTCTCTGGAAAATCCCAGCAGCACACACACACACACACACACACACGCACACACACACACACACACGCAGGCACTGTGCTCGGTGTACGCGGTGACTAGTGAACGAACACAAGCGCAGCCATGAGTACAGATGCAGCCTGGCAGGCACACGAGTCGCACGACCGTGGCACGTTTTAACGAGGGCCCAGGATGCCGTCAAGTGTGACTGATTAAAACGCGTCCGGAAATCTTCACCCCGAGGTCACCGCTCTGCGTGGGACATGCTAATGGAGCCCAGAGCGATGTGGAGGGGGGGGGGGGTTGAAATGACCCCCCACTAAGTGGTTCCTGTAGACCAGCACTCCCGTCCAATGCAGTTACCTTGACGACGTCGGCGATGCTGTGGAACTGCGCCTGCATCCCGGTGCAGGTCTCCTCCCGGAAGGTGGCGTCTCCCGTCTTGGCGCACAGCTCGGCCGCCTGCTCCGACAGGCGCGACAGCGCCCCCTCGTGGCCCTCCACGTCAGCCAGGATGGCCCGCAGGCGCTCCAGCTGCACGGCCTTGTCCTTTAGCCCCGGTGGGGGGGGCATGGGCGCTCCCACCTCCCGCTGCACGGCTGCCATCCACTGCAGCAGCTGGGCCTCGCTCTCCTGGAAGGAGCTCCACTGGGCCATGGTCCACTCCAGCCGACTGTGGGGGGGGCACATACACACACAGACACACACACAGACACACACACACATACACACACATAGAGAGAGAGACACACACACACACACACACACATAGAGACACACACAAAAACAGGAAGGCACAGACAGACACAAAGCCATATGGTTACACCACATGCAATCACATACACACAGGCACAGATAAACACACACACACACATTCAAGAGAAAAACAAAAAGGGTCATCAGAGTCTGTAGCTCCCCATGACAGGTGGTATTCATCTGACACAGACACATGCACGAGGAAACATTTAGAGGGACACACACCTGCGCACAGACACACAGTTATGCACGGCCAGACACACACACGTGCAGACCTACGCACACTCACGCTCAGTGCCAATTACCCTGTCGCACCTGCCCCGGCCCCCCTGCGCGCCTCCTGCGCACCTCCTGCATCTGGCACGTCTGCCTCGCACGCCTCCTGCCTGGGCTTGCTTACATTTTCACACTTTTACCTCCCTGCTCCTGATTGGATGGCTGGTTCTGGGCCCGCCCATTACAGGAGGAGCCCACAGATCCCCCGAGTCCCACGGGCCGCTACAGTCGCATGTACATTGCTCAACACGTCATGTGAAGGCAAGATCTTTAAAGCCCTGCGGCGGTATACAGTACCCCCTTAAGGGAGTATCGATACAGGATTCTGGGGCAGAGTCGGGGGCGGGGGTAGCAGCTGCTGAAGCCCCCATTCTCTGCCCCCACCCCCACCTCCCAGCATCTGGACACTGTGCCAGTTAGATGACCTACATCTCTGCGCCAGAGCTGCTTCTCCGCTCCCCACTTTCCCCGTCGCAGGTCCGGAAGCGGCGGCCCCGTCACCCCCGTATCCATGGCTACATCGTTACCGGCGGTGACGTGCAGCTCTCACCTGTGGCAGCTCATGGTGGCAACAAGCAAAGAGGCCCAGGCATCCTTCAGGTCCCGCAACTGGGAGTGGATCTCCTCCTGCCCCGCCTCTGCCCCACCTCCCCTCAGGAGCTGCTCCGCCTTCCCCTCCACCATGTTCAGCTTCACCTCACCCTCACCCTTCAGCAGCAGGATGTCCTGTATAGAAACCGCAAGGGGTGGGGGGTCACCTTCCCAACTAAATTCACCTGCAAAGACCATCCGTCTGTCTGCTTGCCGACCTGCACGAGTGCCAGCCTCTTCTCCAGCGCCCCCTTGCTGCCGGTGGTGCAGTCGAGGTCGGTCACTCGCTCCTGCACGCCCCTCAGCCAGATCCAGGTGCTCTGCAGCGTCTCCTCGAAGGCCTGACGCTCCTGCAGGCTCAGCTGCCGGCTGCGCAGCTCCTCCCGCAGCCGCTTCAGCAGGGTCTGGTGCTGCGTCTGCAGCTGCCCCGCAGTCCGCGCCTCGCCGCCAGCCCCACGGCCACCTTCGCTCAGGGCCTGTGCCTCGTGACATAGCCGTTCCAAGGAGTCCCTGCAGAGGGACAATCACCTTCCATGTCACCATTAAGTGAGACATTTAGTGCCATAAAGAAACATTCAGATTTAGACCTCTATAATGCCTCTCAAATTTTAGTCCCACCTCCCTAGTTACAATGCCCTGCCTCTAGAGCCACACCTCCCTGATTATAATACTCAAACTTTCTATTTATAGCCCCACCTCTGTTAAAAATGACCCCTCTCTAGAGCTCTGCCTCTCTGTTTACAATTCCCCGCCTCTCTGTTAAGAGCTCTGCCTACCTGTTACAATTCCCCGCCTCTCTGTTTAGAGCTCCGCCTACCTGTTTACAATTCCCTGCCTCTCTGTTTAGAGCTCCGCCTACCTGTTACAATTCCCCGCCTCTCTCTTAAGAGCTCCGCCTACCTGTTTACAATTCCCTGCCTCTCTATTTAAAGCTCCGCCTTCCTGATTACAATTCCCCGCCTCTCTGTTTAGAGCTCCGCCTACCTATTTACGATTCCCCGCCTCTATATTTAAAGCTCTGCCTCCCAGTTTACAATTCCCCGCCTCTCTGTTTAGAGCTCTGCCTCCCTGTTTACAATTCCTCGCCTCTCTATTTAAAGCTCCACCTCCTAGTTTACAATTCCCCGCCTCTCTGTTTAGAGCTCCACCTCCCTGTTTATAATCCCCCGCCTCTCTATTTAAAACTCTGCCTACTTGTTTACAATTCCCTGCCTCTCTGTTTAGAGCTCCACCTCCCTGTTTATAATTCCCCGCCCCTCTATTTAGAGCTCCGCCTACCTGTTTACAATTCCCCGCCTCTCTGTTTAGAGCTCCACCTCCCTGTTTATAATTCCCCGCCCCTCTATTTAGAGCTCCGCCTACCTGTTTACAATTCCCTGCCTCTCTATTTAAAGCTCCGCCTNTTTAGAGCTCCGCCTACCTGTTTACAATTCCCTGCCTCTCTATTTAAAGCTCCGCCTACTTGTTTACAATTCCCCGCCTCTCTCTTTAGAGCTCCACCTCCCTGTTTATAATTCCCCGCCTCTCTATTTAAAGCTCCGCCTTCCTGATTACAATTCCCTGCCTCTCTATTTAAAGCTCCACCTCCCTGTTTACGATTCCCCGCCTCTATATTTAAAGCTCCACCTCCCTGTTTACAATTCCCCGCCTCTCTCTTTAGAGCTCCACCTCCCTGTCTATAATTCCCTGCCTCTCTATTTAGAGCTCTGCCTTCCTGTTTACTTTGTCCACCTAGACTGATAACTGAGCCTTGGCACCAGGAGCCATTCCCTCCCACCAACTAGAATACAGTGAATGCTGCATGCGATGCACTATTGCAGCAATATTGCATCATCCGATGTATGACCCGGGGTGGTTTACAGTGGTGCCTGCAAGTTGAATCCAGGTGTTCCTGCCTGGGTTTTCTTCTCGTATTTTTTTTAATTCCCAACAGGATAGTTGGTGTCATTATTATTAAGTCCTGTCTGGATTGCGTTTCCGCAGAATGTTCTATCCCATCTTCAGGTTTCTTTGTGGCACGTTTGTTTTAGTGATATACTGTGCCTCATGCTAACCTCTCCTTCAGAAGCTCCCTGTGCAGCTCCTCCAGCTCCTCCATCTCCTCCCTCCCAGACCTGGGCTCCTGGCCCTGTCTCGTTAGCGCTGCAGTCATGCCATCTTCCATCTGCACCAGCCAGCCCTTCAGCTTCTCCAGCTGGCCTTCAAAGCTGTGTGGGGCAGTTCAGATTAAATCGATTACCCCATGATTCCACTGTTAGAGTATCTCCTGACTGGAAGACTCCAGGTCATTGGGCCGAAACATGGATCCACCAGCTCACCCGCTCAGCTGATTTGCTGTCTCCTCCAGGGCCTGCTGGGCCAGGCGGCATTTCTCCACAAAGCTCTCCCAGTCCTGTTGGCTGGAGGAGAGCTGCTGCTGCACCTGTCCAGCACTGGCCTTGGGCAGGTGCAGCAGGTGCTTTTCCCCTTCCTCACACAGAAGGGTCAGCCTCGTCTCACCCTCCTCCGTGTGCTCTAGAGCCTCCTGCAGGCCGGGAGGACAAATGCTCCCCCGTTACCACATAATCCCAACATCTGCAAACGTAGCAGTGTGGATGTAAATCTGTAGAACCCAACACCCATGGCTGCAGAACAGCCTGGCCCAAGTACCTTCACTTTCTGCAGCTTGCATTCCACCGCTGCTGCGTCACCCGATTGGTCAGAACAGTCCTTTACCTCATCCTTCAGTTGATGGAGCCAGTTCTGGAATGTTTGGGCCAGCTCTGTGCAGGCAGAGACACAGAGCATAAACAAGTTCACCCTCACTGGCACATGTGGGCATGCTCGGGCAGAGAATCCAGTCCCTAAAGACCAGTAACGGGCCATTATTTGGCAATAATTCCTGCTTTGTTAGATCAGAGGCAACTGTCAAACAGATTGGCTGATGACCAAGGACTGTCTCATACTGGCAGCCGAGGTCCTGTTTGGCAAGGATGGAAACTGCAGATGAGACACAATGAACCCCGCGGGCGGGACGCGGCATCTCACCGCTGAATCTCTGCAGCAGATCGTCCTGTAGGGAGCCCAGGGCCCGGGAGCAGAGCTGGTGGGCCGCCTCGTTCTGCCTGGCGAGCTCCGTTAGTGCCAGCCCAAGCTGGGCCAGCTCCTCGGAGGGGAAGCGCCGGCACAGGGCACCCAGGGTATCCCGCATAGTGTCTGTGCTGCTCCTCAAACCCTGAAGCTCCCTCTGGATGTCCTGGCAGATACAGGCGTTACACACGGGTGCCAGATGCCTACACCAGGCTCATATGCCGCACAAATCATTTATGCAAAGTGTTAAATAACTGGTTCATAATGTAATGAATACTACTTTGGGGTTGAGCCAGATTTATTATCTAAAGAGAATTTTAGCCAGTCGTTTGGCTGCATGAATTACTGGACCAGATGCTTTGCTCAAGAAGGGCTCTTTCAGGACTGCGAGTCTGTGCTATTGGCCCCCATCCAACCTGTACCTATTAAATGTAAATAGTGAGATGATCTAAATTTTTATCTAAAGGTACAGCAGTGGCCTGTCCTTTTGGTTAGAAAACCACTGCTTTTATAGCGTAGTGTTGGTGGGTTGGGATACCTTGACTCGGCAGATCTCCTCTGGGTCCGGCCCGTGTGGCAGTGCCGAGAGGGACTCCTCCACTTCCTTCAGCCGCTTGGTCCCCTGGGAGATGAAGTCCTCTAGCTCCTGCTTCTGGGACCGGAATTCCTTCACCGTGCTCTTAGCTTGCTCGGCGAGATCGTGGGCATGGTCCAACTTCTTCCTCAGGTCGGCCTCCAGGACCTGACCAAAAAAAGCAGTAAAGAAGTCAACGGGCAGCAGAGTTTTTTGCATATTCCTTTAAGAGGCCATCAGAGATAATAGAGAGGCTGGTTTGGAGGTCACCACCCACCTGCAGCTCAGATGGGATCTCCTCGTTGCCTGTGAGTTGCTTCAGTTCCGACACCTTCACCTGCAGCTCCTCCAGCTGCCGCTCTTTGCTCTCCATCTCCATCTGGAAGAAGATTGGCTGCCTTTCAGCCATCCAGAAGTGTAGCAGACCTAACGCCAGGGGGAGGTTGGTCATGCGAGAGTCGACCGCAGGTGCGGCCCAGGGTCCTGACCTGTAGCTGGGAGAGAAGCTCCTCTGCGCGCTGGCTGTCTGTCAGGCTGCCGAGGGTCTCGCTTAGTTCCGCTGCGACGCCGCCGGCCCATCTCTCTATGTCCTCTGTCGCTTGCCGTAGCTCCTCCCAGAGCTCGGCACTCCTGGTAAGACGCTTGATGTTCTCGTCGATCTTCTCAGATATCTGAGGGGATGTGAGGGGTATTTCAGCATATCTGGATTTTTTAATTTACCTGACTGTTTTTCTCAAAGCCACTTACGTTATTTTACAACTGTAATTCAGTTTATGTACAGAAAAATGGTAGTGCAGGAGTACCCTTGTGAATAGTTCATGGGAATTTTACTTACACAAAAATGTTCCGGACAACTAGAGGAGGCGAGACTAACCAATCAGATGTCTTTGACTCCTCCTCCTCTAGTTGCTTGGACCCACCCCCTCTGCAATCTGATTGGATATCTCTCTGAACCAATATTTTTTTCTTGTGCCCTCAGAACATGTTTGTGTAAGTAAAACTCCCATGAACTTGCTAATAGCTATATATAACACATTTAGCTCAATATAAGAGCTTGTATCCAAAATAACAGCAGTAAGATCGATAAAGTATAACATCTCACTAACACTGAAGAAAATTAAAATGTAAAACAGGACTATTCTTTACAAAGTTTGTAGCACCACTTTCCTCTAAATGGAACCTGAATTAACCAACAATTCCCTTGAGGGCCTCATGTACATGAAAGAATGACCAGCAGGTGGAGCCACTCACATCAAGCCAGTGGTCCACCACAGCTTCCAGATCCCGCCTTAGCGCCTGGGGCTCGCAGTCGGGGATGCTGGTCAGCTCGCCCAGAAGCTGCTTCCCTCTGCTGGTGAGGAGGTCCAGGTCTTCCTGGCACAGCACCATCTCTGCCTTCGCTGCCTCGTGCTGGAGGGCCCAAAGAAGGACCGTATGAATGAGTCACACTGTCAGCAATATCTCCAGTTTCAAAAGTACATAATATGAAGAATAACTCTATTTATTGAACGAGCAGGTCTTTCAGACTTTATCAGAGCCAGTGAATGTTGAGTTCTGACCCGTGACAAAGCTCTCCTGATGTCCTCTGCATCCTTCAAGGCCGACCTGATCTCTGCCACGCCGCTCGCTTTTTCCGCGATGCCCCCGATAGAGGATTTCAGGCTCTGGAACTCCCTCAGGCCGTCCACTAGGAGGCAGCATTGGCCCTGCCTGCGGGGATTGATATTTGGTAGGAATACACAAAGGAAAGCAGGGAAATATGTGCCCGCAACACGCGCACAGGTTGAACTCTGCTGTCAAAATGCACAAACGTCCACTTTAAGCTGAGTACTGCCTGCTTTTTATTTCAGCTGTGATATATGGAGCACATGAAGGAAGTCGGACTGAATTAAGACTGCAGCAAAACAAGTTCAGCTGAAGCAATGAGTCCTTTCTTATATCTCTAGTCCCTGGACCATCAACCCAAATTAATTTAAGTTTTACGGATGGGGAAAAAACAAGATTTTAACTCTGCACTATCTTTAGACGCTCCACGAGTAACGTTTCCAGGTCAAGTATAAATATTATGCAGGAATACTGCCCATTTGCCGAGTCTCCAGCTCAGCACGACATCCAAAGAAGGGTGAGGAATGCAGGCTAAGATAAACAAGCAAGGAATTTGTATGAGTGTGACCTAAAAAACGCAGGAAATGCATCCTTGCATTAGTGTTGCAGTTCAAGAAACTATTCTAACAACACCAAAGCTATGGCACAAGACCAAAATGTGAAGATGGGCAATTTAGGAGACTGAATGCTTTCAGGTTTTTGACCTCCCTTGTCTCCCTTTGTTCCTAGCAAGAGGTTTGCGCATGGGGGTGCAGACGGAGTAACTCCTTCACGCCTCTCACCTGTCCGACACCAGCTTCTTGGCATCCTCCCAGGTGGCCTCCACAAGGCTGACCTCCCTGAGGGCCTCCCCCGCCAGCTCCGGGTCTCTCTGGGCCAGCTGCTGGCCCCTGTCCTTCAGCCACTGCTCCTCGTGCTGGTGCGAGTGTAGCTCCTCCTCCAGCTGATTGTAGAAGCGCAGTCTACCAGAAACACGGCGAGCAGCAAGCAGCCAATCAGATATGGGTTTTAGTCAGATGCAGGCCAATCGGGTACAAAGGGTAACCTGATGGACCAATTGGATTTAGTCCGATTCGGTCGTACCTCTGCTGGAGGGCTTGGAGGCTGGGCTCCTGGAGGCCATGCTGCCCGGCCTTCTCCTCCACCTCCCGAAGAGTCGTCAGTAGCTGTTCCTTGCGCTGGCGGAATGTGGTCCAGAGCGCCCCCAGCGCCTCCGCCTCGCTCTGTCGAGTCCCCAGGAGACTGTGGACGGCCTCCATGGATGCGCCCAGGGCGTCGGCTAAAGCTCGGCAGGACGTTCGCGGACCTGCCCCGGCCTCGCGCAGCTGCCAGCGGGCCTTGCTGAGGCTGCCGTCCACGGCCACCGCCTGCGCCTCCAGGCTCGTCAGCTCGCCGGCCGCCGCCTCCAGCTCCTGCCTGAAGGCCTCACTACGGGCCCTGTCCCAGCTGCCGGCTCCCTCCAGAACCTGCCTCATTCCCTTCAGCAGCCGCTCCGCTGCGTCTCTCCCTCCCAGAAAGGCCTGCAGCTCGCCCAGACAGTGCCACCTCCTCTCCAGCAGCTGCTGCGCCTCCACATAAGGCTGCAGGCAGTCCTCCCGCCGTCCCACCAGGAGCGGCTGCTCCGCCGGCTCGCACACTGCGCTCAGCGTCTCCGCGAGTCCCTGCAGGCTCTGCTTTGCCTCGGCCTTGCCTTGCAGCGAAGACTCCCCCTCCTGGTGGACAACCGACCGAACACAGCTGATTAAACACAAATCAATCAGGTGTGATGGTTAATTGAAACTTGCGGGCCTATCACACACTGTCCACAGCCCTGCGTCGTACCTTGACCTGGGCTTCAGCCGCCCCGAGGTCCCTGATGTCCACGTGGGTGGAGTCGTGCAGGCCGGCCAGGAAGCTCTTAGCCCACTGGGAGAACTCGAGCAGGGCGTCCTCAAGCCGTCCGACCTGTTGCATATGGGCCTGCAGCTGCTGGATGCTGTGGGGGAAGAGGTCTCACGGTCAGGGTTAGCTACCCCTCTGATTGTCAGCCATAACTTAAACCCGGTCAAATCTGAGAATTAGTTATACCAATTTAGACCTGCTTAAACTAAGTTAAAAGTATTTTTATAGCTGCCTAGGGTCCAATCGCTACAAGGGCAAACCCCCCCCCCCCACCACCCCAATTAATGAAATCTGTGGAGGGGTACACCCCCCAAAAAACAGGTAGATCCGGCCCTGGTTTTAGATAAGATATTAAGTAGCAAAGAGCTACTGTTTTGCTGCCCCCCCCACCTGCTGGGTATAGCCTCGGACTGTGCCCTCCACCTCTCCCTCAGTGTCTCCAGCTGGGCGGTGAGGTCCTCTGCCTGTTCCTCTGATGCCGTCGGGCGCAGGGCCGCTGCCAGGTTCAGCAGCTCCCCGTGGGCAGACTCCTGGGCCGGGACCTCAGCCTGCAGGTCCTGTATAGCGGGTGACATTTAGCGCTAATCCAGGCATAGGACGCTAAGGCTACAGCGGATGCTGCATCATCAATGATCTGGTGCATTGAAAGTTAATCAGCAGGCTAAATACTAATGCTACAGCCATCGGCTAGATGCTAATGCTACAGCCATCGGCTAGATGCTAATGCTACAGCCATCGGCTAGATGCTAATGCTACAGCCATCTGCTAGATGCTAATGCTACAGGCACCTCCTGGATGCTAATGCTACAGGCACCTCCTGGATGCTAATGCTACAGGCACCTCCTGGATGCTAATGCTACAGGCACCTCCTGGATGCTAATGCTACATCTCTGAGATGTTAGCGCTACCGCAATCCCCTAACTACTAAAGCAACACCCACCTCTCACTTCCTAAAGCTACAGCCATCCCTCAACACAGCAGCACTGCTCATAGAGGTTCAGTAAATATGGGTTAGCTTTAAAGCTATTCATCTGACACCCTTCGCTCAGCTCAGCATGAGCATCTTTTTTTGGTGATGAGATGTTAATGTGCGGACCTTGGTGATTGCGAGCCCCGCTTACCTGGAGAGCTCTCAGCTGGCTCTGCAGCCTGGCATTATCCACAGGGAGGAGATGGACCTCTGAGCTGGAGGCAGCCTCTCGCTCCTCGATCCGGGACTGGAAGGCGGAGCGCTCCTTCTCGTATCTGCGCGGGACAGGCGACAGGCTCATTACACGGCAGGAGTGGGACCGTAGTGGGGCACGTGCAGACGGACCTCAGATAAGCGAGGTCCCCCTGTGTCAGCGTTCAAGCCGTAATCACAGTCAGGCAACGCCTGTCAGTGCAATTATGGATGAGGCTGGGGGGGGCATTTTGTGATGTGACCCCCACCCTGTGCCTGTCCATGAAGGACACAGACGGGGGCACAAAGGGGCTGGCCTATCTCTCCCAGCCACGCGACGCAGCATTTAATCCCCCATAGACTGCCCTCCGCTGCCAGCTTACCTCTGCCACAGGGACAGCAGCTCCTCCAGCTGCACCTGCTTCTCCCTGGCCTGTAGGAGGCGCTGCTCGTGGTCACGCTGCAGCGAGGTGACCTCCCCCTCAGCCTGCTCCCGCTGGGCTAGCCGGCGGGCACTGCCCGACAGAGTGAGCAACACTGCCTTCAGCTGCTCCAGGGACTGGGTCACGTCCTGTGTTGGCAGGAGGGGGGCAGAAGGCAGAAACCCACTTAGTGTACATGCACTCGAACCCGGCAATGCACTCAACCACAGCAAGGCAAAGCCAGTTCACTTATACAGCATTTGCTCATACACAGAGGTGTAAGTGTCACAGAGTGCGTGACAGAAATAAGAACAGACATAAGTTAAAGCAAATACATAATTCAAGTTTAAGCATGTAAGAGAGTAAAAGACTACAAATGTCCAAGATCATTTAATGAAAATGAATAAAAAGCTGTAGCGAATAAAAGAGTTTTCCGTCTTTAAGCTGACTATTGTTACAGCTGCGCAGTATCTAAACTAACCCTCTCACCATGTTTAGCTTTGGTTTGGCCATGACTAGCTGACCCAACCGATATAAGATACCTACTAGACTTGTATTCTTCGAGCATCTCGCAAATATTTCTTGGTCCTAAAACATGTAATGACTTGTAAGCAGTGTATGTTAATGTCACTTCTCTGATTATCCGGAGCCAGCATAAGGACACAGACATGTGGCGCTCTGATCGTCACGTGCACACGCACGGCAGCGCCGGTTTACCGTGTGCTCCTGTAGGGCCTGGTAGGCGTCCGACGACGAGCCGCACGCAGACACCGGCCGCTGCAGCTGCTGGCCCAGTGTGCTCATGGTCGTCCGCGCCTATCGGGGGGGGGGGCAGACAATGTCAGTATTGCTCGCAGGCCACTAAGAGCAAATGTCATGTGTCACTAAGCCAGTAAACACGACACCCTTTGTGTGGCAGCACCAAGAAAAGCCGGACTTAGCGCCAGGGGTGTATATGGGCGGGGGGGGGGGGGGGGGGGAGGCCACAAGGGCATTGAAAGCTGATTAGTGTCTGGAATGATCCTTCCCCAGTCAATGACCATTTCAAAACATTTCATTGGTAAAGATGACCCCCCCGCTGTATAAATTATTACCGCTCTTATCTCTTATGCCCCCCACTTCAAAAACTCCCATCGGTATTTAAGATGATTGCAAACCAGAGATGGTGGGGGTGGGGGGGGAGCGTACCTGTTCCAGGCTGTCGTTGAACCTCTGCAGCTGGGACTGACTCTCCTCCAGTTGCTCGTCCCATCGCGTCACGCTCCCGCGGAGCTCCTCCCAGTACCGGCCCATCCGCGTCAGACGGGCCTTGACGCGCGCCGCCTCCCCCGCCGACAGGAAGCAGCCCAGAGCCTGGGACTCCGCCTCCAGCTGGGTCAGGGCTCCTTCCCTCTCCTGTAGGCCGGCTTCTGCAGCCTAGATCACGACCGGGAGAGAGACTCTCTCAGGCTCGCTGACAGCGACGGGAACATATTCCTGACTCCACATTATCGGGAAAAAGTACTACTGCGCGCCCTGGCTGGAGAAGATGGAGAATCAGTGGAAACCTTGGCTCCGATTGACAGTGAGGAACTTCACAGTTGTAAGTCAGTGAGATACTGCCTATGAATGACTGCAGAGAGAGACTGTCCTCCTTGGCTGTTGAAAAGTGATGATCTTGACAAGCATGCGCTCCCCCCCCAACCCCCCTCCCCCTCTCCCCGCGCATGCTCTGCTGACTGGGAACCCAGACCTGAAGTTCCCATACCTTCACAGTACTTCTTTGCAGATGTAGAGGTTCAGTAGAGGCAGCAAGGGCATCGAGTTCCTTCTCCCTCTCGCCGATCCATGTGGAGAGGACCTCAAATTCATGGTCAAACTTCTCCCACTGAGTCACCGCTGCTTCTAAGGTCTCAATGCTAAGGTTAGAAACACAGGAACCTTGCAGTCAAGGGAGGAGTCATCCCAAGACACGGTGAAAAGTGGGCGTCAAGTAGGGGGGGGACTCACTCTTTCCTCAGCCTGGCCCCCACACGCTCCACCTGCTCCTTGACCTCCTGGGCCCGATGCTGTAGCCGCGTCTGGTTCTCAGATCCAAGCTGGATCTCTACTGCCCTCTTCAGGAGACCATCAGTAACTGCAACCTGCTCCTCACTCTGTCTGTACAGGTCCTGTGCACAAAAGGACAAACAGTTAAGCCCAGGAACCCGTGTTTGATTTTCATGGCACCTCCCACATGTCCTCTGAAATTTGCTGGGTTAAGCGCAACAAATTCAAGTTTCAAGGAGTCATATTGTGTCAACCCACCAGGTGGCAGTGTTGTACACACCTTGGTTTGTTTCAGCTCAGCCGACATGCTCTCCAGGCTGCTGAAGGTGAGCTCCCTCTCCAGAGCAGAGTCAGCACGGCTCACAAAGTCCTCCGCTGCCCCTTGCTGGCTCTCCATCTCCTGCCAGGCTACCAGAGTCTCCTGTGAGTAAGAAAATTAGAACAGATTACCGACCTTGATAGTGGACACGGTGTGGGACAGATCAGAAAAGAACAGACACACCAACACACATTACTGACAGCAACAAGGACGAATAAAATAGGAGGTGAACATAAACACACAGACACAAAAAGCAAAGACAGCATGAAGATAAAGAAAATAACCAGGGGGAACGAACTAGAGGTCAAGGAACACAGATATAGATGTTATTGACAAGCAACAGGCGAATCCATGATAGATCAGTTATCTGGGCTAATGAACACAGACACAGAAAGATCAATGTTGGAGGCACAGTCACAGATCAATGCTAAGGCACTAGATAATGCATATAAATCTATATTAGAGAGAACGCGGAAATGAAGGCACCTCTCGCCTGCATAGTATTTCTATATCAGCTCTAGGTTGAGACCCAACTCTCAGTGATGAAAAGCTGTACAGTGGGCTCTGTCTGAGGTAGACTGTGACAAGATTTGAAAGGGAGCTTCCCTTTCTGGAGGCAGGGCCCAGACTATCCAGCAGAGGGAGCTGTGATAACGGTCATGTGCAGAAAAATTGGCTGGGCACACATGCATAAGCTGGGGTGGGATGGGGTCACCTGTAGGAGGCGCTGCTCCGTCTCGGCGGTCTGGCCAGCGGCATGGAGCTCGTCCTCCAGCACCTGCAGCTGCTGCCGCAGCGTGTCGTCCGGCTTCCCCTCCGTCTGCAACTGCCGGCAGCGCGAAGCCAGCTGCTCCGCGTCCTTCCTCCTGGCCTGCAGGCGCATCATCTGTTGCTGCAGACGCAGACGCAGACGTAGAAAGGCAGCGGTAAGTTTGTGGGACAGCACAGAGCAGACGCAGGGACAGGGCAGACACAAAAAAAACCCAATGTGAATGTGCGAACGAAAAGACGATGTGTATGCAAGTACAAAGGCAGAAATACATTTAATGTAGATAAAGGCAGATGCAAAATTAATGTAGTCAGAAATGCAAATTGACTACCCCTCCCCTGCAAATGCAAACACCAGTACAGACGGAAAACAGACACAGAAACAAAAAGCAAACAAGTGAACAAACACGTCCATGGATGCAAAACAGCATAAACAGCTGCAAACACAGACTCTGACAGATGTAAACTTATTAATAAATGCATGCAAGTAACAGCAAATCACACGCCGTAACAGTAACGCAACATGCTGCATGTGTGCGACCAAACAAGCTGAACTGGGCCTTCGATTTCTCCCATTAATGATCCCTGGAGCACCCAAGAGGACCTCGGTGCCAGGGATGCATCCATAATGTGACCTTGGGTTACGAATCATCTTATGTAAATGTATTAGGCCTCAGGCCTTTAATAGATACGTATAAATTCCCTTTGCTACTCTACTCCAATCACGATGCAGACGGTGTTTCTGTCCAATCAGAAGATGGTTAGTGTCCAGCCGAGGAGGACGGGGCGTCCATCAGCACCTGATGGGTGAGGAGATGCTGCTGGGCCTGCCTGACGTCCTCGGAGTCGAGGGCTGCGGAAGCCGACAGCCGCACCTCCTCCTGCACCTCCTGCAGCTCCTCCAGAGCGTGCTGGATCTCCACGCCGAGCTGAATGCGGTTCCCCACCATGGACAGCACCTCCTCCAGCTGCAGAAAAAGAATGAATCTGAGCTTCGCCACATGGTTGGGTTTCCATACCCGAGGCTGCTCCAGGGGATGGTCTAGCCCAGTCTGGAGGTCCTCACAGGGACCGATAACGCTGACTGACGTTCCGGAATCACAGCGGCTGCTTTCAGGCAGCCTTTTTCATGGTCCTGGCCCAAAGTGTCATTACATCTTGCAACTTCACATATTTCTAATCGACAAGACCCATAAATCAATCCCTACAGTCCAATTAGTGGGAAAGCTTTATGGAGGCCGTACAGAAATCGTCCCCCCTTCAACCCGCTGATGGGATGCAGGGATTGTAAATCAACAGTCAATTCAACAAGCTCTCTGCAGAGTGCTGGGGTGGGGGGGGGGGTGATGGCGCACCTCAGGTAGGGAGGAGAGTAGGGATTTGTAGTCCGCAGAGAGCTGTGTGACAGCGCTTTGCTGTTTCAGCGCCTCGCTCTCGGAGCAGACCTCCAGCAATGCTCCCAGTCGCGCCTCCAGCCAGCACAGCTTCTCCTCCTGCTCCTCAGCCTCGTGCTGCAGCTCCTGGAACACAGGGGGAGGTTGGCGTGGGGGGGGGTCACCCAAAGTCAGTGGTTAGCAAAATTATTTAGGGCATGTTTGTCGGTTCAAATCCCAGCAGGAGCCGTGTGTCAACGTTACAGGTTTGAACATTTCCAGTGAAACACTCCGCTGTGAAAAAACACCATATGCCCCGCCCATACCCCCCCCCTCCTGTACGCAGAGCGCATACTCACTTGCACCGCGTCCTTCACCTGCCCATGAATGCCTGGGTCGCCCGCCTGTCTGCGCAGCTGCCCCAGCTGCTCAACCTTCGATGAGAGCCAGGCCGCGAACTCAGAATATCTGGACAGGATTGATATAGATATTTACATCCGATAAACATCAGGCCGTTCAGACTGTTTACACATTGCGGTCTGTTGCCTGCAGGCTAAAGCGATGTATACTTTATATTTTTTATATTGTTTTTCTTGATTCCGCATATTTTCACTGTAAATTACTGTACAGTGAAAATGCGACTGATTTACTATAAGCCTGTAACTTGTTTGTAAGATAGGGGTGAGGTATAGAGTATTTCTCCCTCTTACAGGGCAGCCTATGGGGATGGGGGGTGGTACCCCTGCCACAATGGCTCCGCCTTCATCCCACCCTCACCTGGTGCTGAACTCCTCCCACTTGTCTGGGTGCTGCAGCAGCTTCCGATAAGTACTGTCCACCTGCTCCATGATTTTCGCCAAGGCCACCCCCGCGCTCTCTGTGGTGCGGCGGCCGGAATCGTCGTCCGGAAGATTCTGGCACAGGTCCTGCATGTACTGAAGCCTCTTCTCACACTGGGTGCCTCGCTCGCCAAAGAAAGCCTAGAAGCACACACAGCCACTGAGATCAGAGAACTGTTTCAAAATGATGTCTCTGTTCTCTTCTTCCACAGAATCCCCTCCGCGGTGAGGCCTCGCAATTAGGGCACGGACACCCGTGATCTTAGTTATTCTGCTCTGGGCGTCCCCTCACCCGGTGTTCCCTGATCAGCCTCTCGCTGCCGGCCCTGGGCAGGGCCTCTTCCTCCCGATCCAGCTCGGCCCGGCACTCCTGCAGGTGCCCCATCAGCCACTCACGCTCCGCCTCCACCCGCAGCCTCAGCAGATGGAGCGGCGCCTCAGTATGGACGTCCTGGGGAGCACAGCAGACAGACATGTCCTTTCGTCACCCAGGGCAACAGGCAGAGAATACGCCAGACCAGACCTGGGCAGAAGCTGGTCGTGGGCGGGGCTATTTTTATTGGTCCAGGTGACCATGTTCAAGTCTATGAAGATAAAAAGATTTTTGCCCAAAATTTTTCTTCTAATTAACAGAGTAAAAGTCCACTATTGTAGCTTTCAAGAGAAATAAAAATAATCAAAAATAATTATGACTACCTAGGCCTGCACCAGACAAAACAGGAAGTCTGGACCTGTGTTTTCACCGTGCCATTATTATTTATATGGTAATTATTCGATTATGTAAGAACTGTAATTTTCCTCTACGCGATGTCATTCTACCTACAGTTATGAAAGTGATTAAAACTGAAAATGGTTCAGCAGGTCAAACATAATATTTGTGTTCCACAATGGGTGTATCAACACAAGGCACAATAAAATTTAGCCAGCAAAAACTGACCGAAAGCTGGAGCGCAGGGAAATGAAATGGGAGAAGATAGAGTCGAAACAGTGTGGATCTCCATGTTGGAAAGCCGTGTGTGTGCAGGGATCGTCCCGCATAAAAAATACTTCAAAGGGGGGTCTAGACTCCCGAGGTGGCCCCTACCTTCCACTGCCTGTGCAGTTTGTGGACGGTCTCCTGCAGGCTCTGCTGTTCCTGCTCAGGCAGGATGTCTGTCAGCTCGTCGCAGGCCTTTAGGAAGGCATTGAGCACGCGCTGGTCCAGCTGGCCAAAAAACACCTGCAGGGGTGGAGTAGAGGAGGTGAGAGACTGGGCGTCTGGCGCCAGGTGACCGTAGCGACACGGCCAGACGCCCTGCTGAGGGCATTACCGTACCGTGTGCTTCTTCAGCAGCTCTTCTGCGTTGCCTTGTTCCTTCAGTGCAGCCTGGGCCACCTTCATCACCTTCTCCAGCTCGGCGTGGGACTCGTCCCACCTCTTCCTCAGGCTGCTGTTGGCTTCCACGTGCCTTCTCCATTCACTGGATTCCTTCTCCATAGTCTGAGGACCAGAAATACTCCTGCAATTAATCTCTGGTGCGCCCCCTATGGGCCCCAAACTCATCCACGCTCAACCGAGATTATCACCTGATGACTCTTATAATTTCTTGGGAAAGTAACTGAATGCATCAAAACCTTTCCTGTATCAGAGCCAGAACCAAAATTAGAATAATTTCTGTCACCTGACCTAAGCTGGTGGAGATTATTATCGGCAGAGCTTGCTAGCATTGGAGACACCATGACATGAGACAGCTAACACTTATTGCATAGCTCAAACAGGACACAGGACACACAACAGAGAGGTGTAAACACAAGATTAATATAGCAATTTGTGCAAATGACAAATTTCGTCAAGTGGAGTAAATGCAAGGTATGAGTTTAATACAGTAGTTTGTGAAAAATGAAGTAGCAAAGTAGTCAAGTTTAGGTTGTATTTCAGCACTAAAAGTTTATTTCTGGGGCATCATATTCATACAATGGTTATGACACAAACCGTCATTACTGGACCAATCCCACCCGTTTGCTGATAGAAAAAAAAGGTTTTCTCCTTGGATCAATCTCACCCATGATGCAAATAGGCTCCACCCACAAGCCAATCTGCCAAAAATGAGACCCAAACTGCCTCTACTCATGGACCAATCCCATCTCCAAAATAACCCAAACATGTTCCGCCCATGGACCAATCCTGTCTCTACACCTATCCAAACAGGCTCCAGCCATGGACCAATCCTGCCTAAACATTAGGGCTTCATCGAGTAACTCGAATAACTCGATTACAAAAAATCCTCGATGCAAATTCTTTGCTTCGATGCTTCGTGTAATCCGCACGACTATGTACTGCTTAGTGATCAGCGTGTTTCACTCGGAGGATTATTACTGCCGCACAGTGTGTTTACGCTGCATTACGTGTAGCAGGTTTGATTTTATGGCGCAATGGAGGAAAACAGGGAAAATAGTGAGGAAAGTCAGAGAAAAAGATGAAATATGTCCAAAGTTTGGGACCATTTCAAACAAAAGATAAGGGAAAATACTGTACAGTGTGTCCACTGTAAAACCGAATTAGTTTACCACAATAGCACAACGTCAATGATTCAACATCTCAACAGAAAGCACCCAGTCCATGCATCCAGTCCACAGAGCGGAACCAATACAAGGTAAGCGCGAGCGTTTCACTCACATTTACGGCTAAAAATAGACCTGCGATAGAAACGTATTTATGGGCATATGTGTGAATGAAAAAATTATAACAAGATTCAGCCCAAGCAGCCCCTGTTTTTCCTCAACAAAAACACTGATAACACAACAGCAGTGAAAATGATGCTGTCGTACTTTAATTAACACGGAGCTGGAGCCTGTCTATACACTAACAGTTCCGTTACAGAGATGGTGAACTCAGGCGAAGTGATGGAAAACAACAGCAGTGCTTGTAATCGCTACTAAAGCTTTATTGGTAAAGAGCTGGCGAGAGTCCTTAATCAAACCAGCTGTTCAACACGCTGAAAGGTGAAGAAAAGCCATGTTTTCAGCTGCTCATATCCACTGCCATTTGTCTTCCACAGCAGCAAGGCTACAGTAAAACTGTACAAGTTAAAATAGAAGCTGTTTGTATGCAGATAATCTGTTAGCTAAGTTTGACACAATATTTAAATTTGGTAACTTGCAGCAGGCTGACAGCAGCCGTCAGACTTTGTCACAGTGATACCTGCAGCATGCAGGGGTGAGTCTAAAGGGGAGCGTGGGGTGTACTCAACTAGATCTATTTCAAGGTGTTAATATTATTTTGCAGATTTAGATTAATATGAATAACATTACATAATTATAATAATGTAAATAATATAATATAAATAGCAAAGTGCTTTCTGTGTGTTCCGGCAACATCTACACCATCAGAACATCTATTTTCTGCAGCAGGAAACATTGCGTCAAAGCGGAGGACAAGCCTCAGTTCTGAGCATGTTGATATGCTCACTCTTCTTCATTGCAACCGCCACTTGCTCCTTTAAAGGCTCACACACACACACTCATTCTCTAACACACTTAAACACACACTCACATTCACTTACACACACATGAACATGCACACACCATTCCTACCTCATCCAGGAGATACAATCCTGTCAGAACTTTTTTTTATGCCTCGTATAAATGTTCACGAATACAAAGTAAAGTAAAGGCCATTTTAATTTATGCCTTAGTTTAAGATATATGTATACCTTTTTTCAGTAATTTTATTTGACATTATTTTTTGCATGTAAAGTGTTTTCTTTTTTTAAAAAACAAAACAAATATGTACATAAATGTACTATAAGGGTTTAGTTCTTTTGTCAGTTCAATCATTAAAAATGTTCCTAAAAAGGAAAACCATGAGTTTAAGGGACCTGCCTATTTTTTCTTTTTTGAATAGTTACTATTGCTCTTTAATAAGACAAAAGCATTTCTTATCCGATTACTCGATTAATCGATAGAATACTCGATTACTAAAATAATCGATAGCTGCAGCCCTACTATACATCAGTCCAAACAGGCTCCACCCATGGACCAATCCCTACTATACATCAGTCCAAACAGGCTCCACCCATGGACCAATCCTGTCTATACACCAATCCAAACAGACTCCCCCCATGGACCAATCCTGTCTATACACCAATCCAAACAGGCTCTACTCATAGACAAATCCCATCTCCCAAGTCAATTAAATTGCTTTTATCTATGATATTACTGTAGCGTCCCTTCTGGACCATGAACTTGCATCTGTCGGGTCACAGGCCTACGTTAGTCTTCGCTGCTCAATTACATTTCAAAAGAGCTACAGAAACCCATCAGCAGGACCCTGGGGGGGCTGCAGGGGCTCCATGCGGGAGGCAAATTCACCAAACCTCAAACTGGCTGCTAATTTCCTTCACAGCCGTTTCATGTGTTTTAATATTAATTAAACCCCATTATTAATGATAATTTGCAGGCTGAGTGAGGTCAACAGAGGGGGGGGAGAATTAATTTGGTAGCCCATGAGGGTAACTCTGGTATGGGTGCCCCCACGCCACAGCGGAACAGAAATGTTCCATTAGGTGGTTCTAAGGTCTCAACATATACTAACATGGCGTTTTTATGCTGCAGGATGAGCGCAAAGGCTGCCCCCCCCCCCCTTCCAGGCCCAGGAGACTCTTGCCTGCAAGGTGGCCTGCAGGTCGCTGACTCTCTGCCGCAGCAGTGCCGTGTCGAAGCCCTGCAGAGCTCTGCTGGAGCCCACGGTGAGCTGCAGGTCCTGCTGACTCTGCTGCACGGCAGCTAGGCTCTTTCTGCCCATCTGCTGGAGCGCGGCCAGATCCTGGGACACGGGTGGGGGGTGGGGGGGTGAGGGCATAGCATGCATTGTGTGGCCAAGGCCGGAAGCATGGCGGAGCACGAAGAATCAACAATGAGCGCATGAAATATCATTCTCCGGTGCCAGTCCATTCACATCCTTGTGCCTACCTGCCTCTCAGTGCTGTGTTAATATTTCTGCATGGGCAAGGAAGCCTTCATACATTGAATTTATTTAACAGATGCTCTGGATAAAGGTGAGGTGCACCTCTGTCTTTGGGAGAACAGGGTCATGAGGTTGTTGGAGCAATTAGGGGATAAGGGCCTCGCTCAAGGGCCCAACAGTTACATCACCCAGCCAACATTGGGAACTGAGCCAACAACCTTCTGATCGCAGGCTCAGCATCCTAGCCTGCTGAGCCATATACCCCCCCAGAAGAAGACACCATCCTGTATGATTCTGTGAGGTTCTAGAGGCTGACACAAGGGTCCCCATGGAGACCACCACACATCCCGGAAACCTTTACCCACTAGCCTGTCCATCAGATTACAATCCATGCCATTCATCTTATGTCGAGGCCTGGATTTGGAGCTGAGATATCTCCCGGTGCCACAGGCCGGCTGTGACTGGGAGGAGGCGCTCGCTAAACCGATCGTAATCAGGCCCCGCAGACGGTGACCCTAGACGTGCTAGCGCTGCGGCTAATCCGAAGCCTTTGTCCCCCCTCAGGATCCGGCTTATGAACACCGTACTTGCATAAACTGCCTTCCCCAGTTGCCAGGGGCGCCCGCTGTTTAGCCGAAGCCGGCTCGGCGGGGTCTGAGACGCCCCCTGCTGCCAGTGCCATGCGGCTTAACCCTGTTTCTCCTTTCAGCATTTAAGCTCCTGCCTCCGGCTACCAGCACACCCCATTAATTACCCTGCATCAATCAGTTCTTAACTGATCCCTCCAATATTTAACTTCTCATTAATAAAAAGGCACCAGCCGTTCATGAATGTAACGAGCGTTTGTCGGAAATAAGTTTGATGTAAACATCAGAAGTGCCTCAGATGCAATACAAGATGGGGATGAAGGGAGGGGAGGGGAGTCCCCCCCCCCAGTCCCATGTATCCATGGCAACACTATCTGCTCACCTGACACTTTTGCTTGATGTCTCCGGGCGCATCCAAGTCCCGGGACGCTGTGATGCTGCTGGCCCTCTCCACGGCCTGGTAGAAACCAGTGATCTGCTTCTCGGTCTCCTCCAGGCTGGGCAGGAGGGCCTGGGACTCCCTGAGCAGGGGCAGGTGCTTCTCCCTCACCTGGAGACAGGGGGCGACAGAGAGCCGAGCGGGGTGAGACAGGGAGGGCCCTTTCATACCACATGCATGTTCAGATCTAGCCCTACATCTTTCAGGCTTAATTCTTTAAATAGCTGCACCAGTCTCATTAATTATATACAGTATAATGGCTTCCATGGTACACTGATGCATTATATCAAAGTTAGTCTAGACAGGCTAGGGAGCAGGCTTTCATTAATTGAGGACGACCGAAAAATCGATGCAAGCCAAATTCTGTGATTCACTATTCTAATCAACAGGCTCGTAGCCACATAGAAGCTCAGAGGGCAGCCAGAGTACAATGACTGCCGCCAGGGTGGGGTGGGGGGGGGTTGGAATGTAAAGAACACCTTGCTCAGCTGCTCCTTCATGGTCGCCATGGTGGCCAGCATCTGCTCCGCCTCCTTCTCTGGGCTGTCTTTGGTGAGCAGCTGAGCGCTCCGGGCGGCTGCCTTGTACTGCGCCTCCGCGGCTGGGAGCTTCTGCCTGATGTCCTGCAGGCGTCCAGAGGAGAGTTTGCAGGAAGGCCGGCGCCAGTGGCCAATGACCGGCATGGAAACTCAGGGATGGCTACCTACCTCCATGTCCTGGACAAAGGCTCTGACATTCAGGAAGGACACTTGCACTGTGGAGACCATCTTGTCATTGGCCAGCTGCAGGAAGTCGTTGAGGGAGGAGACCCCGTCTAGGTAATCCTTCCTCATCTTGTCCACCTCATCAGCCCGGGCATACTGTGCGGCAGGAACATGGTGGTGAATGAGGCAAAGCCCACTTTTATCATCGCAGCCAAGCCTCTTTGGGTTTTCTTGGGGAATCTATTACGACAGTGCTTCCCAACCCGGTCTTCGGGGACCCACAGTCGGTTCATGGTTTTGCTCCCTCCCAGCTCCAAAAGTGTGGACTGTCTGGCAGGGAGCTCGGAGGGAGCAAAAACATGAACCGACTGTGGGTCCCCGAGGCCCGGACTGGGAAACACTGAATTCCGACAATCACTGGGATGCAAATATCTGACTTCTGCAGGTTTTGCTGACTAAGTCTGGTGATATCCCTTCCTATCCTGACCTAGACTTCAGTGAAATATTATTGCTCATATTGTGGTCATTGCATGGCTGGTCTGCCTAATGCTCGAAGCCATGATTTAAAGCTGAACAAATCCTGGTGGAAATGACCAACGATGTCATCTCACGTACACTGTCTCTATATCTTCTCCTCTCCTCTGACTGAATCTGACAGTCTCTGCTTGAATATGACAGATCCAGAGGGTCAATGAGGTAATGATACACTATCTAGGAGGCCTTCTAGACCACGCTGAAGGTCTCCCACCATCTCAATGCGAGCAAGTTTCTCACAGTTAAGTTATGCAATGATGAATATCTTAGAGACCTGCTTGACTCTGACGAAGAGCTCCCTCCACCGTCCGTTCAGCAGGAGCAGTTGCTGCTTTAACTCCCGGGACACCGTCTCATCGCACGTCTCGATGAGGAAGTTGCCGGCGTCGTTCATGGCTGCGTGCTGCTCGATCCAGTGAGCCAGGTCCCGGAAAAACTCCTGGAAGCATTGGGAGACGTGAGGACGGAGCTCTGAAGTCGGCAGGGAGACGACGTGCCGTTTTTCGGGGTATGAGGGGCCGTATTACCCGTCTGGCGCTCTCGGGTTGGTTGATCGTGCTCTCGGCGTCATCCAACCAGGCCTGCAGATGGGCCACCTTGCTGCTGTACCTCTCCCAGTTGGACACAACCTCCTCCAGCATGCTGCGCACGCTGCGCAGCTCCACAGATAGCTGCTTCCACTGAGCAGACGTGTCACCCAGGAAACTGCTCACGGCCTCCCGCTCCTCAGCTGGAAATGAATAGATAGGGCGGTGTTTTGGGGGATCGGGAGAAGATGGGGTGTCAGCAGCTCAGTAAGACTCACATCTCAGGCCACAGATGAAGGAACGGGTCAAGTCATATTAAGTCTGCCCATCTATCCATCCATCCTTTCATCCATCCATCCATCCATCCATCTTTCAAACAATTATCCAGTAGAGAGTTGCAAGGCCAAGGAAACTCATGGTACAAGGCAGGTCGACACGGTGGACGAGATGCCAATCCATTGCAGGTCACACAGACACTAGGTAATGTCATTTAACCCAACATCATGTCTTTGGACTACAGAAGGGAAACCAAACGATTCACGTTTACTCCACACACTGTCAGAAAACAAGAGTACCAATATGTGTCACTGAGGCTGTACTATCAAGGGGAAATGTACCTTTTAAATACAGAAATGGACTATGAGGAACATTTTTGTACCATTGATGGTATATTAATGCTGTACCTTGGGGATGTTCCTCAGAGTCCATTTCTGTATCTTAATAGGTACAATTAGCTACAGATATAGGGTACAACTGGCAGACCCTTGAGGCTACAGCCCCAGTGACAAGCAATGGTACAAACTGGTATTCTTTTTTTCTGACAGTGCACAGACAGTAACCCCCATCCCTGGAGGAGTCAGTGCTCTCCACTGAGACACAGTATGGCGTGAATGACAGGTGTGTCTGATTAAATGCGCTGTGAGGTCCACACCCTTGCGTCCTCCTTCTCCCGCTGTGGATCTGGGTCACAGAGCTGTACTGCTGCAGGATGATTCAGCACGTATCTTCCGGTGACATTATGTACCTTTTCTTGTGTGTGTGTGTGTGTGTGTGTGTGTGTGTGTGTGTGACAGCGGGTGCTTCTGTCATTCTCTGTTCCCTCCACACACACACAATGACAAACAATTTTTACAGCACAGTATACCCAAAAACATCCACTTTATCTGCTTGTGTTTTGCACGTGACACCATTTCTCTGTTGAACTGGGACACAAACCCAGTTTATATAACTAAAACTATATAACTACAGCAGGGTAGGAGAGTGACAAAGTGACTCTGCTGAAACCGGAACCACCAGTAACCTCAGTCGAGCATCTATAAACTCAAGCAAACCAGTAAACTCAATCAAACAATCCATAAACCCAACTCAACTATCTATAAACTCATTTGAACCATCAGTAAACTTACCTGTGATGTCTGCCTTCACGTACAAATCAGCAGACTGTTTCAGAGCTTGGTATGTTGTTTCGTACTGCTCAAAGAACTTCTGCCCCTCGATGATGGACTGTTTAAAGATGGAAGTAGAGAGTGAGCATTCTGAAAAATCACGACTGCCCTTGACACAATACATGCACCTCCCTCTAAACAGATATCCTCAGCTGGAATATCTAGTTACTCAAATACATTCCCTCCTAAAGCTTCTGTCTTTTGTCAGGGGTGGAAATTTCAGGTCCAGAAAGTACAGATCCAGAGTAAGGCTTTGTTTCATCCAACCAGTTTTGCATAAAGAGTCACAGAGTACTCAACTGGTTGGCTGAAACAAAATCTTGGTCTGAGTTTTGGACCTGAAATTTCCACCTCTGCCTTTTGTGCATGGATGTACCTGAAAGCAGGACCGTAGCCAGCTGTGAGGTCACTGAGGTCCGAATCTCAGTATTTTTTAAGAGCTAAAAGCCAAATAGATTAGGCACCTGAAAAGATTAGGCAAACTAACACTTCTCATAACTAATTACTTAATAAACAGCTTATGGAAGGAACGGTATCAATAATATGACTGACGAGAGCCACCTCTGGGTTCCCACCCTCACCATAAGGACACCAGACGAGGCTCCTTAAACAAGTCATACGCTGCCCCTTGGCTTCCCAATCTCGGCCGCATCTTATTCAGGTGGGCCGGGCCTGGGGGAAGTCGGAGCAGCGGTGATGGGGGCGGCCCCAGATACTTACAGTGTAGTTTTCCAGCAGCAGCTCCACTGACTCCCGACGGCCATATTTGATGATCCAGGACTTGAGTTTGGACTCGGCCAGCACGAGGAATGCCAGCAAGCGGTACTTCAACTCCCAGAATTCCAGTTTAGCCAGGTGGACTTGAGATGACGTCGATACGTAATTGAATCTATTGGGAATTAAAGTGAAATGAGAACATTGTCTGTTTCTGTGCCTGGCAGTGTTGCATTCTGGGTTAGGGTGCACACGTGTGTCCCCCCAGTGCCCATGTGTGACCCCCCCCACCTCTCTGCCATGTCCTGCAGCTGCTCGGGGGGCACTGAGACCGCGCTGACAGAGCGATCTCTCTGGATCTGCTGGAAGGCCCGATGGTGCTCCTCTAGGTGAGTCAGCAGCTCCTGTGCACGCACACGCACACGCACACGGACACGCACACCGCAGCACAAACACACACGCACACCGCAGCACAAACACACACGCACACCGCAGCACAAACACACGCACACGCATACACACAGGTGTAAGTGCACCAGGCTAATATCCACAGTGCATAAAGTCACCAGCCTGTCTGACTTGCCACCACACACTATAAATCTATAAAACAAAACATTTATAAACTACACGTTAAAATTTTATATGTAGTTTTATCTATTCTCATTCTATTATTGTCATCTATTCTCAGTCATGCACCACATAATGACGTGTCAGTCAACGACGGACCGCAAATACGACAGTTCCTAATTCCTAATGCCTAGTGACTTCATAGCTATTTTAAGCAGAGGTGGAAAGTTCAGACCCAGGAAGTACAAATCCGGACCACGATTTTGTTTCAACCAACCAGTTGAGTATGAAGAGTTACAGTCACACAGTACTCAATCTTGGTCCGGATTTGTTGTTATGTCCGGTAAGCGAGCTGGCGATGAAGCAGGAGATTGGAGCCGTAGATACGGACAAACGGGTTTATTCCACACAAGGCAGGAAGGACAATCAGGGCAGAATACCACA